AACAGGTTGGTACTCGCGCCGGCCGCCATGGTGTTACCCAGAATAGGCGACGAAGGTGCTGTCGACAACGGATTAGCCAGGCTGCAGGAGAAGGAAGACGGTGGACTCTCGTAAGAAGGACTGGGCAAGATAATGGAGCTCTCATCCATGTACCGCAAATCGCCGCCGTCCAGACCGGTAAGGATATCATAAGTACCATGACCATGGGAGCGTACGATCAATGATCTAGGTCTGTCGGTCGAAGAGGACGTTGTCGGACTGTCTGATACTGGCGGACTACTTTGAAACTGCATAGGCGGCGGTATAATGTTCTGTTGACTGTTACTAATCGACGTTCGCTTAAGTTGAGTGGGTGGTGTCACCTCAATCGAGATAATCGATTGTATATTGCCATCGGCATCGTTTGATTTTAAGGATTGTTCTGGCGTCAACGTTCGGCTGCTGGACTTGTCGGGCTCGGCGGGATTATCGGTGTCTAGAAGACTAAGCTCCTGTATCTTCGGCAGTGTTTGAGCTTTCTGCGTCGGCGTGTCGCGCGTAGGACTCGTTGGCAAAAGTTTCTTCGCCGTTGGCACACTCAGCTCAACTTTGATCGGTACAATGCCGTTCAGGCGTCCGTTGGTGGCGAAAACTTGAAGAGCACCGGATTGGGCTACTAGACCCGCCAGCGAAGACCGCTTTCTGATATTAACTTGCTGTGAGGTACCGATGGTGCTTTCCTCGTCGGAATCGAAAGCAGGGCTACTGGAGCGTTCAGATTTCTCAGTTTCCATCACCGTGATATTCGAAACGTTCTTGCTTGCATCCGGCGGCATCGCGCCATCAGTTTTTGAGATCATTTTTTGCGTAGTTGTCGCGTCCATGCCAATGATACTATCATCTATTGACGTAGTTCCGATCTTTGGTTTGTCCTGACTCAGCAAAGTGCTCTGTGTTTTAGAAATACCTATACCAGCGGCGCGACCGGCCATACCGGACATCGCGCCGGCGCTCAACGCGACCATCGATTGCATCTTGCGCTGCTTGGCCTCGCTTTTCTTCTGCATGTCATAAGCGGTTTTGTATATGCCGCCATAAAGGATGAACAGAACGATCAACGTCGTCCAATAATATCCTATTATCAACGCGGTATTGAATACCGGATCTTTGAGGAACTGTACGGCGCACTGGCCCGGATGTAGGTCTCTGTAACCAATAAAATGCTCCCAACCGAAGATGCTGATGAAAAACAGTAGCGCAGGTATGATCCAGGTGATGGTCACCATCCAGATTACGCGCTGCTCCGTCCGCCAACTGCGATACTGCGCGGCTATCTTCACCGAACAGAAGCGATCGATCGTGATCAGCAGAACAGTGTACTGAGACACAAGGCATACCGTATAGTCCACTGACAGCCATAGATCGCAGAGAAGAGGTCCTAGATTCCAATATCCCATTAACACGTAGACTGTGTAGAACGGCATCGACACGGTGCCTGCACAACAATTACGTCGTTACTTGTATAGTCGGTTTCTGTTGCCACGTGTATCTGATTACTCGTATTCTGCATTCAGACAGACCTCACGATAACCAAATTACACATCTCGTATGATTATCATCACGATGAATGCATCGGGATCTGTTCATAACTGAGAAATTTGCATTAGAAATACTATCAAACGGTCGTAAAGCTATGCCCAAACATCCTATCAAAGGAAGCGAATCGAAACGCGATGTGTTGCAAATCATATTGTAATTAAATTTAAAATTGAAATTGATGAAAACGATAATTAACAAAATTAATGACAATTTTAATATTTCGACATAAAAATATATTCTTTTGCAGCGATACTTATATATTTCATAATTAATAATGCTTTAACATAATTTCTATGGAAGTCATAAGATATAAGTTCACTTGATACTGTCATACGAATTAAATCAACTATGTTTAATATCATTCTGGAGAACTATAGATCTCTTAAGAACTATTGATAGATTTTTTCAATAAACTAATTACTGTGACATTAAAAATTACAAAATTATTAAGCAACTATCACTATTTATAATAATTATACTAAAATTACTAAAATTATAATAAAATTGACTTTCTAAATTTTATTTATAAATAGAATTTATAGAAATATTTATCTAATTATAAGAAATATGGTAATTATCAATAAAATTGCTTTTATAAATCTTTTGCTTTTGACATATCGCGTTCTCTACGACACGATTTATATTAGATACTCCAAAGATTACATCGTGGAATCATTTTTACAATTCAACTTTTGCAGTAAGAGAGACAAAAATGAAGTACGGAAATTTTATAGAACTTACCGATAAGCATATCAGTGGCAGCTAATGATGCAATGAAATAGTTGCTCGGTTGCCTGATGGCTTTATCTACGATAAATGCCAGAAGAACGAGGATGTTACCACCGATAGTTAGTAGTATGCATATCGCCAAGCAGATAGCAATCAGTATAGTCTGCCAGAGCGTAAATGGTGGCAAAACGGGCACCAGAGATTCTGTTTGGTAAACATAAAGCTTACGTTATTGCATTCGGCTTTATCAGTAAATGACATACGCGATATGATTTTAATATGGAAATGTTTATAATTCGACGGCAATTATAATTTCAATGGCAATTTATAATTTCAACGGATTTAATAATGTATTTGCATTAAAATATTATTGCATAATTTAAAGGAAAAAATTAGAACAATTACATGATTTCATATTAATAAATGAAACGCAATAGAATATATTCTCAACTTTTTATACTCAATTCGTAATATTTAAATAAAAATAAATAAAAATATGAGTCTTTCCGCGATTGTTAATTTTTAATACTTGAATACTTGCTCTGCAAGTCGCAGATCGTAATTGTACCTTAATTTCAATTACATTACCCGATGTCGACGAGGTCGTTGCGTTTCCGAAAGTCGAGGTATTCGTCGCGTTTGTCGGGAACCAGTCGGGCAGAAGTTCCGCGTATTCACCGCTGTTCCAGCGCGGGTCATCCGGGTCAGGCCATGTTCCATTTAGCTGAGTACATTCTGCCGTCAAAATCTGGTTATACACGAATCGACATAGACGCTCCCGTTGTCTCTTCAGCTTCCTAAGAACAATGGAGAATTTTTTATAACAAACCATAAAACACGAAAAATGGAGGATCGTTCCAAATGTCAGTGCGTGAGTCCATTACGATAAATTTGTATTCACTAATTAGTATAAAGTAACACGAATACGACTTTATGAAAATAAAATAACGCTCGCATGAGATACCGTCACCTCTAAATTTTTTTACGTAAATTCGCTGTAACAATCTACTGTAACAATAGAGCAAATCTAGGCTAATGATATGCGTACAAATAAAGCACTAAGCATTTACGTAATTACAGTCAGAGATGAAATCACGGATTAATTCCATTTGTGCTCGACTGCTATTTCTATCCACACGTGTAAATTACATTTTACGCATAAAGAGAAGTTCGATAGTTCGATGAATCACAATGTTCCTATTCCTTCGTTGTAGCTGTATGTTTGTTACCATCGAAGAAAATGTGACACCGGTATTTCCTGATTCTCTACACAGCGACATGTACTCTCTGGAGCGTCCCTACAGTGGCGACACGAGAAACGAGTCAAAGGCGCTGAATACACCAGGAGCACAATGAGCTTGAAATAAGCATGAATGGAACCACATTCAACCTCCGCGCTAGTCTCATCGCCGGTAGGCAAAAAGCGACAGGGTACACCTTAAAGAGAGTGAACTAAACCATTTTTAAATTATTCACGTAGTCGATTGGGACCCCCCACATGGTCTGAAATTACGGATAATAGTCCTCCTTTTAGTAATTCAAAGACTGAATAGCTTTGAATCAGAGCTATCAAACAATTCTTATCGATATTGCATCACTTCAACGCGAATCAAACGCTATTGTTCTTTATTCACTTTTGTGCAGCGCGCGTTTTCGTAATAAAAACTATTTAAAGAATATTGAAAATTAAATATCCATATTAATAAACAATAGAAATTGATACTTTATGTACTTATCTTTTTATTTTTGAGGTACATTGTTTTTAATGTCATTAATTATTACTTTCATCAAATTTGTAATTCTTTTATAAATTATAGAAACTCTAAATTATAAATTCTATTTTGTATGATGTTATTCGAAATAAAATCTGATTACGTAATATTTATAAATATATAATATATATTTTACATAAAAATAACAAATCAGTCTGACAGTTGATGTTAAAATAATGCAAACATTTCATACATGAGCTGCCAATGCAGTTCCGGATATTCTATTATAAGGTTGAATGAGAAATCTAACTCTAGCTTAGCAAGTCATTTTAGTGAGGAAAACACGAGTCACAGATTATCGCGTCTAAAGTTCAGTTGCACTGAAGTTCTCATGAAGGATAAAGCGTTTGAGTATATGATCCGTGGTACGCCCTCGATTTTCGTGCTTTCTTCGACGTCAAAGAAATTCTCGACATTCAACGTCGACAAGTATTATATCACTAGAGCACTATTGATACAATGCATGGGTAATTTTTTGCACGATCCGTATAATGTGAATAGTGAATATATTTTTCCTTACATTACATCATAATTGTACTTCTAGTATTATTTTATATTTACAGATACAAGTAATCATTTAATTCACGTTAATTTTTTATTCAACATTATTGAATTTAAAACGATATTAATAACCAGGCCGTTTTTTATAAAACAATTGCGAATTCATAAATTTAAATTATGTATATACAAATTTATATGTTTCAGAGTAAAGTGAGATTATAATTTATCAAAATTAATACGATTTATTATTATATTTATACTATGGAATTTTTTATATCAAAATTAGTAATTTTTACTTTCATAAATATCGAAATTTACAAATGCGGTCCTTTTAATACACACATGGTTAGCTCTACTTTAGAATTTTGCAAATTGATGAATCTTACACAGTTAACATTATTACATGGCAGATCACCAGTGTAAATAACTGAAGAACCGCGAGAGAATAAAGAATGAGGTACGAGATTCTTTGTTTCCCAAGAGTAAATACTTGTTCTCGTTATTCGTGAGCATCCTTCTTGTGTATCTCTACCGTAAAATCATTCGTAAATACTTGTCCTTGTTATTACTGTATTTCTACTTTATGCCACTATATTGTAAAACGTTTGTAAAAAAGAATCGACCACTTGTAATTATCTGAAAGTACAGTCATTTGGTTAAGAAGAATTGGGGAAAAAAATTTTATAATAATGGAAAACAAAATTTTTACTCGGCGAAAGAAAGTTCGTTAACATAATATATCATAGTTACAAACTTTATCAGTTATAATATGAAATGTTTGCATGAATAAATAGAAGCAAGCTTGTAGAAAAAGATAACATTTGAAAAATTGTATCATTAGTTTTATTAATTTTTGAAAATTAATAATTCAAGTATGTGGCAATTAATAATCTCAATTAAGAAATTTACATAAAATTTGTTTTATTAATAAATTGTTGTTATTATAATTATTATGTAATATTATACAATATACCACATATAGAGTTTCTTATTTTGCGAAAAACATGTCCGTTTTAACAAGTTAAATTGTGAACAAAAAAGTACTTAATTTCACGAAATCGAGTTACAAACTGATTTTCCAGCTTAAATTGTGCGATATAATGAAGAAACTTGTAACCAATGTTCGCATTCACATCCTCTCTCTAACTACACGAGTTAATTCGATCTAATGTAAAATGACGTAAATTACAGCACTACTATTTCCTGTCATTTGCATAAACACGTAGTATCAACATTTCAGAAAGTTTTTTTTTTTCAATCACAAGGGAGGAAAAAAGCAAGAAAAAGGCAAAGGGCGTTACAAGAAGAGACACGCAGGTGGATTGTAAGATTCACGGAGGGGATTCAGCCCGTCAGAAGGATATCCCTCCTGAACCTTCACACACGAAGCTTCGCTTTATTAACGCTAAAAATATCTACTTTATATCAAGCAGACAATAGTGTATGTATCCAACGTTATTATAAAAATTTACAATCAATATGTAATTTATATTCATATGCGTTTAATATATCCAAAGTATTTATTGAAAAATGCATATATAAATTAAAATGTATATAGAGAAGTACATTATTACGATTACGATTTTATCAAGAAAATAGAAACAATAACATAACAAAAGGAATAAAAATTAAATCTACATCATTAATTAAATGTAACCCAGTTGTTAAAGAAGCAATAGATTTAGTGAAAGGAACATTCAATTAACTTGTATAATTCGGGAAATCTATAAAGAAAATCTTACATTAAAATATATATAATTTCGATTGTTTATATTGTCTTACAACATTTTCTAAGATTTTTTTACTTGTAGAAACAATTCTTTCGGCTATCTATATAACTTTGAACATAATTACAGTCATTCTTACGTCATATTCTTCGAATACTTGCCATGATAGGTAAAAAAAAAAAAAAAAAAAAAAACAAAAGCATTTGCTCTATTTTATTCATGCAATCCATTGTCCTCGCTACATTCGTTGAGTGTGACTTGTCAGCCCGCACCAGCTACACGCCAGTATCTTGCCAGTCGAATGGACACTGAGCCGGTGTATCGAATCGCGTGGACATTCGTTAACACCATGGCGCAATAGCGCTCAGTGACAGAATGTGTTGTGTGCATGTCCCTTTTAGATGTGCGCGAGCAGGTTTCGTCTGTGTACATATGCCGAGAGAGGGTGGCAAAGGATGGAAGCTATACAAGCCCTGGTGAGCAGAGGATCATCGCCGTGGAATGGCATGATCATACGGACGGATGGAAGGGCCGCACTGGAAGGAGAAAGGCTGAGAGGACGGCTGAAAGAGAGGAGCAAATAAAAAGTTGGACCGCGTTGTAAGCGGGGAAAAATTACAAGGAGATAGCGGAGCAGGATTGACGGCGAGCGACGGCAACAAGTACCCCGTCGGCGTCGTTCCAGTGTATCGTAAATATTGCAGCAAGCGAGAGACTCGACGAACCAACTCAGATTCGTTATTTGTCAAATCGATCTGATTCACAACAAGAATATAAAATATACAATCATAGAGATTTTTGATTCGCAAGCAATTTAGAGATTCGAGGATATAAATAACGGACTATATTCTTTATTTAATTTTTTTAATAAAACTTCATTGCAACAGAGTATGCGTTCATTTAATTACAAGATAGCTAAACGTTGCTGAAAATTATTAGGTGTTGGAATTAATTCGTAGCGTTTTACAAGTGATGGAAAGTACTTTCATTAATGTATTTTTTAATGTGAAATAAATAACATTCTTTCATTAAAAACGCTACGAATTAATTCCAACACCTAATAGTAAAACACTTTGTTGATCAATATGATCTTAATATTGAAAAACTTTAAATTTAAAAAATCTAATACACCTTGTGTTGTTATAATTTTTCTGAAAATAATTTTTTATCTAATAAAAAAAATCACTGTTTTTATTAACATAATCTTTTATTGGCTACTGACAATTTATTCTTGAAGATCGACAACAGCACCGCATTTGTGGTTCCATGTTACATGCTTTCTTCGCCATATGTTTGCAATCGCCTCTGGGAAAACCTTATTTTTATTTTTTGGCCCAGCTGCTGAATGGAACATTTCAAAAGGCTCTCTCACCCTCCTCGCCAAAATACATAACCCATAGCTGCAGGGTAATATTGGAGCAGATAACGTTAGTTCCTCTCAACAGTGCATCTTCAAGTGACATGATTTTCTTTAAATCTTTCTGTACATCCTCTTCAAGGTCGAAGCAACTTTAAATCAATTTTGAAGAGAGAGCACACAGGTATTGGCGAGAATCAAGCCATTTTATGCGTAATATAAAGGAATGATGATCATAAAATGCATGAACAGAAAAAGAACGCTGATTTCCTGGCGTGTACTACATTTTTATCTTCTTCTCGGAAAATGGCTTTTCTCTTTTAAAAGTCATGATCTCTTAGAATTCTTTTATATAACAGAAGATACTTTTTAATATAATTTGATACATATTTGCAGTGTACATATTAAATAATATAATAGACGAAAAAGACATGAACGCA